CATCACATGCACTTACTAATTCTTGACCTTAGCAGAAGAAACTCTTGAGCTAAACGTATTAGAGTGTGGTAAATGATATCTGAAATGGTTAATTTTTAATTGAAAATACACTGTTAATCATTTTTCTATGTAACTATTGAATCATCCTTCTGTAGCATCATACTACTTCTGTAGTCGCTTGTACAGTGCTCACAGAATCATAGAATCATTTGAGTTGGAAAAGGGCTTTAAAAGCCACCTGGTTCCATTCTCCTGCAACAAACAGGGACACCCATAGCTCCATAGGTGCTCAGAGCCCCTTCCCTGACGTTGGGTGCGTGCAGGGTTGGGGCATCCATCACGTCTCTGGGCTCTCTGTGCCAGTGCTGTAGTGTTTCTTCCATCTCTGTGTAAACGAAGAGTTGTGTTTCTGTTCAGTGCCTCTGTTCAGCTTATATGGTGCTTGAGGGACTAGAAAAGAGTTGGTAAAGCTGAGATGCATGCTGGCAGAGGTAAATGCACGTGTTAAGACCTCTCAATAAAAGCCAAACAGATGTCAGTAATATATTGAGGAACATAGTAACAATTGAGGAACTCTGAACTGCCAGTCCTCTCCCAGCAGGGGCTGAGCCTACAGTCCCAGTGCTGCATCTGGCCCCCCTGGGGTTCCTGCCGCATGCTCACCCCTTCAACTCTGAGCATTGCATTTTTCCTGTTGAAGTATCCCCATATATTTTCAGGGTATGTTGTTGTTTGGCAGAGAAATGGGATGTGGAGGCCCTGTACTCTGAAGCTCAGTACTGAGCTCGTAGTCCCAGCTGCTGAAGTGTGTTGTATCACACAGCCCATCTTTCCAGGGGTAAACGGTGGAAAAGTTCTGCAGATTTGGTCAGAATTCAAATAAAGAAGATGGAAGAAATGCTCCATAAACATCGTGCAGCATACATGTTTGGGCAGATGAACATAGCCTTTCCTACAAGCCTTGGTCTGTGCCCTCTCATTGTCCTTAAGCCATCTTGCTGCTTCAGTGGGACCATCACCATTTGGAAGGTGCTTGGATGAGTTGTGTCCTTTCTGAATTCTGCAGCTGAACAGGATTCTTCTGGCCTGGAATAATGCCCCTTCCTTGCCCTCTGTTTTCCTGTGCATTTCAACCTCACGCTCTCCAAGTTTGGTTTTTACTGGTGGAAAAACTCCATTTGTGTTGGTGTTCATTTGAAGCCCCTTTGCGTTGCCTGAACAATGTTCCAGGGAGACTGACAAACACCTTTACCCTGCCTAGGGGTAAACAGAGCTGGCGTGAAGCCTGCGCCCACTGAAAGTGATAGCAAAGCTGTCACTGGCTCCCACCAGCATCAGAAATGTGGCTGCAGGAAGGTATTCAGGGAGTTTCTTCTCGTGTTCAGATGCCTTTTGCATTGTCAAAATGCTCTCACAGATAGATGGAAGTATTTTTAACACAAGCTTTAGTGCAGCTTTTTCCTCCTCTCCAAAAGTCGTGCTGCCTGCCCTGTGGATGTCTCGTGCTGGAGCCAGCAGTGCTCCAAGAAGCGTATGGGAATCCCTGACTGCTCTGTGAAAGCAAGAAGAGAACAGCTCGTCCCTACAGCTCAGCTTACTTTGTCCAAGGCTTCCTTGTTCTTCCTCAGTGTGAGACGTGCCTTTGTTCTCTCCTGAAAGGTCCAGCCCTGTGGTGATTTTCACAGGCAGGTATGTTGGGAGCTCAGCCAGGGGTGACCCTTTCCGCCTTAGCACTCAGATGCTGTCAGAAGAGCACCCCAGGTAGCATTCCATGGTGTTTGCTGCTTTAATTGATGGTAAAGAAGAAGGGAACACATTGTTCATCTTCCGTGTTAAGAGCCCACGCTTATCCTGCAGTGGTTGGGATCAGGCTGAGTATTTCCTCAGCAGGGGGTTGTAAATCAAACCCGTTTCACTCAAAGGGAGGAAGTGGGACCTGAGGTTTTGCAGGAAGGTGGTGGTCAGGGCGTGCCTGCTTACTTGGGCTCCTTGTCTGCTGTACCACGTACCCACTGACTCATGCCATGGAGCAAGCGTGGATGGTGCTGTCCTGTTGGACAGGAGGGGCACACGTGGACAGCTTGTCTCGCCTGCAGCCCAAGACAGAAAACTAGCTCGTGCCATTCAGCTTTGGGAATTCCAGCCCAAGTCTTTGCCATGGATTGGTGCAGACGCTTTGCTGGACCAGGCTGCCTTTCTCAAGAGGCAAATGCTCACTGAATGTAGAGACCTGTGTTTGAGACACAAATTGCAGACAGGATTAATAATTTTGTAATGAGCATGAGGGGTGAATCAAACATTTTGCGGTGCTCTCTCAAAATGGGGCAGGCTGTGGAAAAGAGGCTTCCTCAAACTGTATGGAAAAAGTGAGACATCTCCTATGAAATGCATGCAAGAAAAATTGAGTATTTGTATGGAGAACCCCAAAATGGCAGCTCTTACTGCGTGGTGCTGAGTAGCTTGGTGCTAAACTAGATTGTACTAGCAGTAATAGGAATAGAAACCCTTTGTTAAGCTCCATTTTGGGCAAAGATTGCCAGTTCCATTTCTGTTACTTGTTACATCCCTAAGTGTTAATGCAGCATATGATGTAGACGGGCCGGGCTGTATCCTGAGCCGGCTCTTCTGAGAAGGAGAAGAGTTTATAACCTTAATTGACATAACCCAGCACAAAAAGGGTATGAAGTTCCTTCTGAGGTCTCCACAAGCCCTTCCTTGGGAAGAATTGGTATTTCCAGTGTGCTTCTTAAGTTAAAACCAAAAAGGAATGGTTTTTCATTTTGGTAGCATCAGCCCTATAAAAGCAAAAATGTATTTTTGTGTGTAATAAAGAAAGATGGAAGTACAAACAAATGGCTGCATTCCGTTTGCAGCTCCGAGCGCTTAGAAAATGACCAGCTGTGTTTTGCTTTAGAAGCCAATTCCAAGGGGATTTTTTTTTTTCCCTCTCCTTTGTCTGTTTCTTTCTGTGTAAACCACATGCACACAACAATAATTAACCAGTGAAGGAGGTCAGAAGGGAAAAGGCTGGAAAAGATGCACTTTAAACAAAGAGATCCTGGGCTTCATGAGGCTATGAGCTGCAATTAACTGAAAGGTTTGTCTAAGGATCCCAGGTGACGTGATGAATATAAGGTAGCTGTTAAAGGGGCAGAATTTGGATACTATTTTGAGATTTATTTCTTTTTTCTGGTTATGTTTGGTGCAGTGTATTTTCTTATCTAAGGAAGCTTAGATTCTGGTGGGAATAGAAATAATGTTTGGGGTTATCATGTAGCATCCGAAGCATGATGCTTTCCAGTAGTGGTTCACTGTGTTTGTGAATGCTGTGGTACAGAAGCCAGGTAGGTCTGTACACCAGACTGCAGGCATGGAGCAAGTTGTAGGAGATCCTGCGGAGGCCTGTAGGGGACCTGAGGTCTGCATGCAGCCAGCTCATCCCAACTACAGCCACGCTCACACCAACACAGAGCCATCACCTGGAAAAAAGGACCAGGAGTCTCCCTGGAGCTGATCTCAGAGCATGGGGCACCAGCCACACACTGGGCTCGTGGAGAGCTGCTGTAACCAGAAGGAGCTGTGCTGAGTGCTGTGCTGGATGCCTGTGGCTTCCAGCGGCCTCCCAGCAGAGGCTGAGTTTCATCTTCTGGCTGTGCTTTCCACCTGGGAGCAGTGCACTTCTCATGAAGCGGGGAAAGATGTTTAGTTTTTCTGGTGTTGCGTTGCATGGCCAAATGCAGGCTCTGATCTGCCATTCTGCACAGAATATGTGTGGAGTTAGAGATGAGGCTTAAAGCAGAAGTTGTCTACAACCCTGGGCAAGCTTTTAAATCCCATCAGCTGCAGATGCTTTATGTTTTCCATGCCGAACAGCCATCTTAATACATTCAATTTTTCCTGTAGATACTGGCAGCATGTGTGCTTTGTTTTGTATGTGCATGGTTGGATGGAGAAGATGGTTATTCTGAGGGCAGTCTGACACCCTGAGTGCTGTCCATCCCCAGCAGAAGCTGTTTGCCCTGCTTTCAGAAGCCACCCTCCAGAAGTGAAAACATAGTCCCCTGCAGATAAAGGCAAACACGAAGCAAATGGCTTCTTGTAACCACGATAAATAAAACTTTTTGGTTTTTTTTCCTTCTGAAATCTACGTTTTTAACAGACAAAATAATGCTTCCTCTGGCTAATCTCACTGCCGTCGTCCAGCATGAGGAAACATCTGCTCTTCATGGTAGGCTTGGTTGTCCCAGTCAGTTCCCATTCAGTTTCCTTCTCTAACACCAGCATCAGTTGCTTCCATGTGCCTTCACCCCTGCCCTAAATCAGGAGCAGCCTGAGGCTCAGGAAAGTTTTAACCATCTTTATGTGCAGGGTTTTAGCAGCCCTTGCACCACAGTAATGTGTCATGGTCCTACTGCTGCCTTCCTTCTTTGAAAAGGGGGAGATGCTTTTGTTGTGACCCAGCTGGTTGTTTCCCTTGTGTGATTTCAGCCCACCCTATGTGGGATGGCTTTTCTGCCCCGGGGGTGGGCTGTTGGAGGGGCTGGCTGCTGGACAGAGAATGGCTGCCCGTCCTCATTGCCATGGCTGCAAAAACCAAAAGTAGGCAAGAGCTGAGAGAGCAGAGCACAGGGGAGGATGTGTGACCAAACCTGGGATGCTGTGGGATGTGGAGAGCTCTGGAGAAGATCTTTCCATGGTAGGAACTGGAAAGAGCCTGCTGGGAACAAGTTTGTACATATGTCATGTATTCTATTGCCACGTATGTGCACTGAAGAGCAGTTCACAAAAGGAAAAAAAATGTACTTGTAGCCTTGCTGGAATTTTGCGGTTCTCCAGGAGTTTAATATACATGGTTTATTCTCACCAGACAGCGCCATTCCTGTTCCAGCTAGCATGCTAAGAGCTTGGTTTTATTCCAGCAGCAGAGTATAGCACGTTTGATTCGTTGTCTTCACTGTCATTCTTTTACAGTGGTAATGTTGTCCGTGTCTCATTTCAGAACCGTGGCGGCTGAAGTCAGGAAGCAGATCTCAGGGCAGTATGGAGGGTCTCCCCAGCTTCTCAAAAACCTTAATATTGGAGGCAGCGTCTCTCATCACACAACCGTAAGTAGTGCTTGGAACACGGAAGAGGGAAGGAGGTGTGCATGGTTATTCTGACCATTGTTCAGAAAGAAATTGCAGTTCCTGTTCACACAGGAGATGGACTCCTATGGTGGTTGTTATGGGTCCTTTCCAACTTGAGGTACTCTGTGATTCTGCAGTACTGACATGTTGTTATCTTAACACTGATAACACTAAGGTAAATAATTCTGTGCAGAAAGTGCTGATTTTGGAGATGTCTGTCCTGCACATCAGTTAGTGTGGCTGGGAGTCTGTGTTCCTGCAGAAGCTTTGTAGGACACTGGGGCTCCTTTGACCAGCTCTTACTTGCTTTATCCCAGAGCAGCTTGGATGGGACATTAAATTCCACGTGCATGTCTGGGTATCTGCAAAGAGCTCTTTGCATGCTCGTGCTCTTTAGGTACAGTATTTTAGTCTTCTTTGACATTCTTAAGACTAGAACCACAGTTACAAAGCTCATCTGGTCTTCAGATGTATTTTAAATATTACGGTGAAAGCTTGAATATAATTATTCCTCAGGAATGTGTATTTATTTATGTGTTCACAGTCCACTTCTAAGAGTGGTTGAAATGTAGGCCACGTTTTCAGGAACACCCTTTCTGAAATCAGATTTTCTTGCACGGACTCTCAGTAACCTTCAAATTTTATTCAGTGTGGTGGTACAAATTTCAGGAGTTCAACAAACTTTTTCAGGCTGGAGCTGTATTTTGGAAGTGTTCCTTTGATTTGGATTATTGCCCTGGGTCATAGAGTTTCTTCAGCAGCCGTCAACTTAGAAAACAAATACTGTAGGATCTTGCTTTCTTCAAAGAGGTTTAGATTGGTTCTGGCAGTGCTGGAAATATGCCCTGAATTTTCAGAGTCCTCCTCTTGATCTGGAGTAATGTCCTGTGTGGTATTGTTGGTTCATATGCTTCTCTGCACCCCATGCAGTGATAAGCTTTCTTATGCAGAGCACAGATGCGTCCTTAGGGCTGGTACCATCTCAAACAGGATCTTAGAGACTAAATTGACCCCTACCTTAAAAAGAATGATTTGCTGCAGGCTGAAAGTTCATCTTTAAAGAGATACGGCTGTGCTAGAATTGCTGGGAACTGGCATTTGTGTCATTTTCCTGTACATCAGCTGTGTAAGTACTGGGAGAGAAGAGGGCTGGTTTGGTCAGCTGTGTGCATGGCCTTATTGCTGAGTGAGCACAAAGGAGGGAGGGGTTATGAGAACGGCGTCTCCAGGGATAATGCCTTATTGTAGCAATCTCTGTAGAGATGTGGGATGATAATGCAAAACCTTGATGTGGTGGTTCTGTACCATCTTTAGCACCCAGTAGTTAGGTGGAGGGGAGGCAGCCCTGTTATTAGTGGCACGGACTGGATGGAGCACTTGGGGTCATGCCCCCACTTCCCTGCTGCGATGGATAGCTGAGGATTGATGTCTGCTTTTGAAGAGCCCATTGGATGTCCATCCCTCAGCTTTCTGTGCCTCGCTTGTCTCACATGATTTCATTCAGGAACAAGTTGGGTGAATTGCCCTTGTGCTCCCCTTTGCTTTCATGAAGTAAGATCTCTTTGGCGTACCTTGCCAAGCTGTTCTTCAGCCAGACATGTATGTGATAACTATTTTTCATTGGTTGCCCATATGAATCATCTCTTCCACTTTTTGTTTCTGCATCTAAGGTTTTTTCGGCCTACTGTCATAAAGAGGAGCTACAGAAAAGAAGGGGACCAACTCTTTAGCAGGCTCTGTTGTGACAGAGCAAGGGGAAATGGTTTTGAGCTTGAAGAAGGTGGATTTAGATTAGATATAAAGGAAAAGTCTTTTACAGTGAGGGTAGTGAGGCACTTAGAACAGGCTGCCCAATGGGGTGGTGGATGCCCTGTCTCTGGAGACTTTCAGAGTGAGGCTGGATCAGGCCCTGGGCAACATGACCTAGCTGTGCTGTCCCTGTGCATTGCAGAGCAGTTGGACTGGATGACCTTCAGAGGTCCCTTCTAGCTCTAAGGATTCTATGATACTAAGTGTACGCGCTCAAAGCTTCACTCCTGTCAACCTGCACATGCAATTCATAATACAGGATCAGATTTGTTGGGCACCGTCTTGTCATCTCTGTCTTTACTTCTTGGTCTCTCATTATCCTGTTGCTGGTGTGGTTTTTTTGGTAGATCTACGTGAGCATCTCTAAAATCCTAGATAAGGTCATGCTAACTGGAAGCAGGCTCTGAGCCTTTCCCTCAAAATGCGTTGCGTGACGCTTGATGCGATTAGCTGCTAGTTTGTCATCCTAAATTCTGTGCTGAGCAGAGATGCTTTTAGAAGAATGATTAACGTGGTGTTTTATAGGAGATAGTCTGTGTGTTTAGGCAAGTCATGAGTCTGTCCTGAGGCTGCATCACATGGCAGAGGTTTTGCTTATAAGGAATTTTGGGTTAGTTTTTCTCCCTTAAGCATCCCTCAGAATCTGCTGTTCCTGTCTGTTCTGTTTGGTAGTGAAGGGGAAACATGACTTCTTTCAGTTGGAATAGTTGTTTGCTGTGGAGAAGTTCAAAAGTTTATCTGTCATATTACTATTATGGTGCAGAAATGGAAGGCCCTGAATCTGTGTGGCAGTGCTGTGTAGCTGTGCTGGTGTGAAAGCCTGAAGTAGGATTCCTGGTGTGGATTTCCATATTTTACTAATTCTTTGATTGAATTTCATGTGATTATCTCCACAATGGCAGCAAGTTGTATTGCTGAAGGTGCAGCATGGACCTGGAGGACTTCTAATGATAAAGCACTCTCCTATTCAGTGCATCTTACTCCTCACACAGCTAGTTAGGATCCAGAGGAGGTCACAAAGCTGATCCTCTGTTGTCTGCTGCCAACAGCAGCTGCTTCTGGGAACTCCTCTGTAAGTCTCATGATATCTGGTCTGATGTAGACATCCTTTAGCAGAAATCTATGCTTTTGTGAAAGAGTAGCCTCAGTGCTGAGCCATTGCTTCTCAGTGGCTGCAGCCAGGGCAGGAACTTCTTGCACTTGACGCATTTGCATGTGGTTGAACCCAAGAGTAGTGCAAGAGATGTCAGCTGAATTTTAGCAAGTCTGTTTGCTTCTGCTTCATGAGCAACAGCCAAAATGCTGCCAGAACTGTTTCTAATTTTGTATCTGGTGATGCTGGGGAGGAAGAAGGCACTGCTTTCAACTGGCTGCACAAGTGTTTGTGGTTTATTATTGTCAACTTCCGCCCTTCTGCCACTTCAGGAGCAGCTGATTTTAATGGTGTGTTCCCCAAACCACAGTGCAGGCCCAAAGCCATCAGAAGCCTTTCCTGTGTACCCTGTTGTGCTGGATGGCTCTCCTCACACGGTGCAGCCTTTGCAGCACGGAGCTTTTATTTTTGAAATCCAGAACAGAAGGCACTGATGGTTTGTTGCTGAGAAAAAGGAGCCTGTAAGGTCCTAGTGAGATGAAGGAGCTTTTCTTTTTTGAAGCTACATTTGCAAGTCACTGGTAAATAGAGCATGTGTTTGCACCTTGCCATTGGGTTTGGGCCTGTACACCACAGGTGGTGCCCTCAGCTTTGTGCATTTATTTGGTGCTCCCTGGTGGGAACCTGTACTTCTCCCACTGAACAGCTGCTTCAGATGACCAGTGGGGCTGAATTCTCCTTTCACACGGAGGGTGGTGAGGCACTGGAACAGGTTGCCCAAGGAGGCTGTGGATGCCCCATCCCTGCAGGCATCCAAGGCCAGGCTGGATGTGGCTCTGGGCAGCCTGGGCTGCTGGTTGGTGACCTGCACACAGCAGGGGGTTGGAACTGATGAGCGTTGTGCTCCTTTTCAACCCAGGCCATTCTGTGATTCTATGAAAACAGAGAGCTCTCACTTCCTTTCAGAGAATTCCCAGCAGCATGCGACATTTACTTTGTTTATTTGATGAACTGGACTGTTTACTATGCTCTATTATAATGCCTTCTGACTAACCACTTTCTTTTCTATTTAAGTTTGGTTTTTTTCTGTTGAGCTTCTCCTCGTGCTATGGTGCTCATTAACTGTCTGCTGACCCTGTAATTGCTGCCAAGCACTGTGGTGTGGCAGAGCACTGCAGTAGTTGTACCTGGACGAAGCCGGGTTGTTGGGCAGCAGAGGGATTGCCATTAGTGCTGCTGAAGTGACTGAGAGGTTTCTCCACTGCCTGATGTGCATGGCTGGCTTTACTGGCTGCCTGTTGTGCCCATTTGGCTTCAGAAGAGCAGAGTTCAGGTTTGGATCAGTTTTGTCCCCATGTTTGTGGGCCTTTAGTGTGAGCAGACAATGCTACTGAAGGACAGTATTGCATAGCTGAACACTGCTATGAGGAGGAGCGCTGTTATCAGAGATGATAATTAGTTTGGGAATGAAAGGGTGTGGATTCTTGGACATGATGTGATCTGACCACATCTGCTTTCAGTGCTCCATTTTCTTCATGTAAAATAAAGGTGCTGACATTTATGTATCTTTGTAAGGCACTACCAGCTTTATGGGCATTATGAGGGCTAATTGAAGCTTTGTCTTGGATTTATTGGATGTCACGCTTTTGTTCTTTGTGTTCAGAGATAGTATCTAATTATTAAATAAGAGAATATAGGTTCCTTTATATATTTCCATTGTTTATTTTAGCATTGCTTAAAAGAAGAGGAAAAGATAATTTATGCAAATGAATGGAAAACACTGCAAGGGAGAACCTGACAATAAAAATGTAGGATAGAAAAGGGCGTTTTGAAGTGTTCAGAGCCAAGTAATTTTATCACCAAAATTACTAAAATGAAAAGGAAAATGAGCCAAGTCTTAATGCTCTCTCAAAGCTGATTAAGGCTTAATAGTGAGTCCCATTATATGGATTTCCTGGAGGTTGTGCCCTGCCTGCCTGGATGGTCTGTCCTCATCAGCCAGGAGAGGATGGGAGAGGCATCCACATCCTCTTCCCCTCCTCCTCCCATCAGGGGCTGCTCATGGTTGACTTTGCTC